CACCCTAGTTCGTTTAGCGTGAAAACCAACTTATAAACAAAAAACTTACTCTTATATACTGGTTTTTACTTTTGTTCTACTTCCTGGAACAGTGGGACCCATGTTGAGCGTGATTTTGTCGAGTGTCCATCTCAGATGTTTGAAAACTGGGTATGGACTTCTGAGGGGTTGAGTGAGCTGCTTTCTCTTGGAGGAGGTAAAGCCTTACCTAGCGAGTCTATCAAAAACTTAGTCCACTCACGTACTGCCAATGCGGGATTATTTTACTCACGACAGCTAATGTTGGCTGACTTCGATCAGGCCATTCACACGGCACCTGAGGTATATTCTTTATTTAGTAGCATTGCCATTCATTTTTATTATTTTGATTTTTATACACCTTTTACTAGCACCTACGTGTTGTGCTCTTTAATTTTTACTACATTGATGGGTCGAGCCTCGGTGTGGGCAGCGTATTCCTTGGGGAATTTTAAGTGTTGTGACAACGTAAACCATCGGCGCTTTAATAGATAATCTTGATTGAATTTTAAAGTAGTATAATTGTTTTTCGTATAAGTAGAATTTCGAGACTACCAGTAAATAAATTACATGAGATGTATTCACTCCATTTCGTTTAAGGTGATGAAGGATTGGTAGTAGAATTTTCGCACAATGATATGAGTAGAGCTGATGTTTCCATTGAATTTCACAATCTGCCTTTCACAAAAGTTGTTTTCCTGGGTGGACTGCAGTTTCGACCTCACCTAGCTCTTATCAACACCCCCAGGGGGGGTCGAACCTTGACAGTGCAACATATGAGCTTGACACGTTAACCACTTAGTCACATTGTCAGCCTGGATGAAAAAAACTTAGAGGAAGGCAAGACTATATGAAATTCAATGGAAACGTCAGCTCTATTCATATCTTTGTGGAAAAATTATACTACCAGTTCTTCATCATCTTAAACGAAATAGGGTGAATACATTCCATATAGTATAATTGTGCAATAGTCACCATAGGTCATAGGTAAGGAAGGACTGATACTTATTTGTATTCACAATGAGTATGTTTCGATACTTTCAGTAAATAACTTCCAGACCTTTACCACTATATGCGACGAAGGGTGACTACCTCCTGTGACCTATCCATATAATTGGAAGACTATTCAACCTTATGCGACTTAGGGTGCCTCAAACTATCAAAAAATATATATAAGATATTGCAATAAATAGTGCATTCTTAAATCTCATAAAGTGACTAATCGTCGCATACGTGGATTTCCTAACTTAAATAGTAAAGTGCTTAATGAGATAATTGAAGTGAACAAGTTTAATTTGATCTTGATTCCTATCATTAATATGGAGTGTATTACGAAGTGGTAGCGTCACTTAAAGGACACATTTTGAATCCCGTTATGCATAATGGTCAGACTCAGTCAAAGTCG